ATGGAAATACTTTCCTACCTGTTACAAAATCAATTTCCTACATTACATTTTCAATTATCATTTTAAAATGTGTGTAAGATCTTGTTATCTTCTCCCTAAATTTCTTTAATAGTTTCCTCTTGCACTTGGAACAACATTCAGATTCTTTACCATAGCCTGCAAATGATCTGCCTTTTCCGTTTCTCAAATATCCCTCCTTAGTCTCTGCTCTGTTTTAAAAACACACAAAGGTTAAGTAGTAGAGGGAGTGAATTTGATCAAAGTACATTAATACATATATGAAAGTATCACAATGAAATCCTTTCATACAATTAATTCATGCTAACATTAAAAAAAAACATGCCAAGGCTTTTCTCACTTCAGCGCTCTTTCATTTGACTTTTTTTTGCATGCAATGTTCTTTCGCCTTGGTAAGCTCATGGATAGATTCTCAACTTTCAGTTCTTAGCTCAAAAATTATATTCAAGAGAGATCTTCCAGTCCAACCCTATTCAGTGCTCATGACTTCATTCATTCCTACCTTCTTAGCACTTAGCATAACCTGAAATCATTTACACTGGTCATTATTTGAGATTTGCCACCTCCAATGAGAATGTAAGCCTCTGGAAAGCAGGCCTTTTCTAGCTTGGCCACATAGGTATTCTCAAGGTCTATCACAATGTGTTCAATACAGTTCACACAAATAAATATTGCCAAATAATGGATAAATGGAGTAAATAATTGGGGCATGACTGGATTATTAGTCTTAGTGTGTTTTCTTAAGTAGGAAAATGGTAAATTATAAAACTTATAGAAATCCAGCTCATCTGGGCAAATCTTGCTTAATTACAGATCAGAGGAGTTATAAAAGAAAGGCTGGAGCCAAACCTGGAGGATTTTTTTGTTTGTTTTGCTTTTTATTTTTCATTTTGAAGCTGGAGATTGAACCCAGGACATTGTGCATGCTAAGTGTACACTACCACTGAGTTACGGGCTTACATCCCCAGGCCCAATCTTGGAATTCTTGAATATCATGCTGCAGTGTCTGGAATTTCTTCTGCGGTCAATGGACAGCTCCTGAAAATTTTTCAATAGTCAATGTGATTTTAGAAATGCCTGCTTTGTTACTAGCTATGGAAAATGAGTTCTGTGTCAGATGAGCTGCATTCCCTCAGCAGTCCGGGACAGTGTAATTCATGACCGTTAGCAGGGTGTTGATTTAGTCTGTGTTCATTTCTTTTTCCATCAGCATGACTGCCACGTATAGTCGTACTTCTCTGCTGGCAGGAGAAACTGTCTGTCTCATTCTTCATAGCCTGAGTTAAATGGCCCAGTGCTTCTCGAAGATACTCCTTACTGGTATTTCTCACATCTCAGTGAGCTGCGGCCTCCATTAGAAGTGTGATGCCACCTTCTTGTCAAATCATTTCACTTTTCTCAGTTATTCTTACTTCACAATTTATCTTTCTGCTACACAGAGTTACCCTCATATTAGAGTTACTCTCTCCTGTGGTTTGTTTTAATTTTGTCTTAAAGGAAATCCAGTTTGGAGCCTTTAAATGCAGTTTGTTCAGGTCACACTAAGGGGAGGTCACTAACAGGAGAGGGAGGGTAAAGGAAGGAAGTTAAAAAGGTAAATTCAGGCAGGAGCAAGGAAGAGAAATGGCCCAAACAATGTATGCACATATGAATAAATGAGTAAAAAATGAACAAATAAATAAAAGATAACAAGATAACTAGAAAAAAAAAGGTGAATAGGGTTGATTTACTTTCTATACAGGAATGACTATAGAATTTTAAACCTGTTGAAATCACCACAAGAAAAGGACGAAGGTAAGAAGGAGAAAAATAGAGGGGATGAACCAATTCGGGTTATAATACATATAGACATAAAAATGTCACAATGAAAGTCCTTGTACAGCTATCTTACACAAACAGAAACGTCAAAAAAAAAAACAAAAAAAAAAAACAGGTCCTGTCTGGGGGATGATACCAGTGGGGGGGGGGGATATAAGGAAAGGTTGTAGGAAGATGAATATGGTAGAAATGTTATGTACTCAAGTAAGAAAATGGAAAAATGAGATCTTTTGAAATTAGTCCAGGAATAAGGGAAGGATTGATAAAGGAGAATGAAAGAGGGGGTGAATTGAACTATGGTATATTATAACAACTTTTGTAAATGTCACAATGCACCCCTAGTACAACAATAATATGATAACAAAAATATGCTTTTGGTATGTGTCAGTGGAATAGTGGGTAGTTCCATCCTTACTTGAAGCCTAGTACTTACAAACCTTTGTAATAATCTCCATCCAATAATATGACATATGTAGTGTACACATGTTCCTTGGAATTTTTTACTCAGACATGCTGTGAGTTTAGTTTCTAAAATGGAGTTCAGATATGTCAAGATTCCAGTTAAAATAATGGTCTATTTTATAGCCCCTGGCAGACAATTTTAGTTTCATTAACTGCTTTACAATAATTTAAAAGCCAGGGCCAGTTCATAAAGAAGTTTTATGGTTCAATGTGAGGTCACAGACCCTCCTCTATATGTATATGGGAAGGGTAATATTATGTTCTATACCGGGTTACGAAAAAGGAAAGCATGGAATAAGTAAAAAGCCAATGTGGTCCAATTGAAGAAAAGGATCCAGTTTCATCAACACTGACTGACTGTTTTCAAGAGTCACTAAATCACATCCATCTGTGATCTCTAGTACTGGAAGCTTTCCATGTGAATGATGACTGGGATGTACAACCTTTTATTGTCATGTAGCTTATGAGGTATACTCACATGTAATATGCCTTATGGTTTATATGTTAAAGATACATTTTTTTCTCTTCCTATAAGCATCATTTATATATAAACTGAGTACAAAATTAAAAAATAAAAAATTAGCTCTCTTTCCATGGAAAGCCCCATTGGGAGATGCAGATATAATTAGATAGATGTAGCATATGGCAGGGTGTGATAAGTGCCAATAGAGGAATAAGGATAAGATGATATTGCAGTGTTTGACAATAGTGAAGAGGTTGAGAAAGAGTCCTTTAAAGTTAGGATTCAAGGTTGGCTTTATAGGACTGTTGCATTTCAGTAAGAAGAGATACGAGACAAAGGTTCTCTACATTAGTGGAACAGCCTGAATCCAGGATAAAAGTAAGAAAAGGAAGAACATAAGTATAAAACTGTGTTCATCAACGTTAATGTCTAGTGTTGTAGAATCAGAGTTTGTCAGTGGCAATCTGTTTTATTCAGTACTTGCTGTTTGGCTCTTTCCTGGAGATAGATTTCACCGACCACGAATACCTACTATATCCTCATAAATGATGTGCTCCTGTAAGCTACAGATTCTACTCCTCATTGATAAATGATTCACATTGTTGAGACTTATAGGCCATTTATAAATTCTATGATATCATTTATTGTTTCTAATGCTTTTGTATTTCTGGAGCATATTTGTATATAATGCATAATTAAATCTTTCCATTAGATAGTGGTATGCAATTTCATGAGCATTTTTTCTTAAGGGAGAATTAAGCAAAAATGTTTAAATGACTTTTTCCAGGTTAAGTTAGCCAATATACGCAAACCTATGATGAGTGATTTGGAATCCATTCTTTTTTCTCTGTATATATCTTATTATTACCACATAGGTGCCAAAACAATTCATATTCTTGTATTAATATTCAAGAAATTGAGATAAGTAGAAAACAAATCCAAATTAGTGATGTTGACAGCTTAAATATTTCTGAGTGCATGGAATTGAAGACAAAGATAAAAGTTATGGGAAGAGCTAATTGAATTCAGGCAAGACTTAATAGGAGAATGGGCTATAGTTAAGAATTTGAAAATTAAGTGAAAAACATAAAGCATTTACTGTGATTAGAAAAAACGATATATTGAAATAGGGCAGTGTACATTTTCTGTGGCGAGAGCTGGTTCTTTCTATACATATCATCAGTCTGCAGCATCTAGGGACTTGTGACTCCACTGTCTTTCTATTTTTAAATTATTTAATAGCTAGATGGTCAAAGAAAGACCTAGTTGAATATTATATGATGTCCTGTGATTTGATATTGGCTTAGTAAGTAACAAGCTTCCCTTTCTTCACACTTTAAAATAGGACAAATCTATTCTGGGTTTCATCATGAAAAAGACTACTAATACAAATATTTATTTTTTATATGAAGCAAATGGATCTTTCCATAGACATTCTCCATTACTAAATTCAAAAGGTCTTAAATTGTTTAATTCTATCTTGTTAAAAATATATGGCTTTTTCCATCAACCATGGTGCTCAGGTTTAGGGGGACATTGACAAGATTTATGTAGAGATTATTAAAAACCTTTTCTTTTGCATTAATGAGAATCAAAGTTACACATTTACCATCTTTTATCCACTAGACTGATTTACTCCCTTTAACTTTTTATTCTCCATTTTCTAAACCCTGGGAAGAAATATGGGGAGAGATTACACAATTCCATCATTTAGAAAATCTGAGGTGTGTTTGTACTCTCATTTTCAAGATTAATGGCAAAGTGAACAAAAAGAAAAAAAAGAGAAAGTATAAGACAAAAATATGTTGAAAATTGAACTGGAGGTGAATAGCCTGGCAGCTTTGTGTTTTGATTAATCATAATGCAAAAATAAGCATGTAGAACCAATTTCTTAGACACACATAGCTTAGAAGTGGGTGAGAGAATCAACTTGGAACAAAGCACATTTATTTATTTCACCAAAGCCAAAGCATCCATATGTTATTTCAGGAGCACTGCTTACTAACCCGCTGGCACTTGAGTATGGAAATTGAATATAGTATAGTAGAAAATATGTATGTGTTTCTATACTTACAAATAAAATGTGTGTGTTTGAATGTGTGCGTGTGTGTGGTGAACGTACACTGGAATCCTGGCCTTACTCCTTTCAAACTGTGAGACCTTGGTCTGATTCCTTAAGTTCTCTGAGCCTTATTTAGAGATATTTGCATTCACTTGGTTCTTTTCTTTTCTGTCATAGCTTAATCAGCTGGAAAAGGCGGTGGAAGCAGCCCACACATTTTTCATGGCCAACCCTGAACACATGGAAATGCAGCAGAACATCGAGAATTACAGAACAATGGCTGGGGTGAAAGCATTGCAGTTGGTAGATCGAGAAGCCAAACCACACCTGGTGAGTGCTGGGGGCCTCTGTCCCTACCACGTGGAGTGAGGTGCTCCAAGTATCATGTGACTCAAAGCAGAGTCATAGGAATAGTTACTACAAATTAATTCTCAATTTCCAGTAACTTTTATGCCTTCAGAGTTCTCAGATTAAATAATGTAATTATCAAGGTTGAAAAATGAGACAAATTTTAATGCTATTTAAGTCAAAAATTTAAGCGAAATAGAAATAGAATTAGCAAACCAGTACATGGTGAAACCTAGAAAATTATAAAGATTTCAGAAACCCTTTCAGCCTTAGTTTTTATTCATCACTTTTCTTTCCTTTGAGACTAAATTTTGCTATGCTGTCCTGGGCCTCAAACTTCTGAGTTAAAGTGATAACTCCTACCTCAGCTTTCTGAGTAGCTGGGACAAGTGTACACTATCACACCTGCCTTCAAACACATTTATTTTACACCTAGTTGTGGAAGTCACTGTGAATTATTCAGGATTCCACTATTGTTTCCCAGCCTCTAATCCTAAGGTTTGTCCACTGTACCTTCACTTTTCAAACTGGGTTTTGAAAAACCTACATAATTATTTTGAAGATGAAATGTTATTTGAAATCAAATGTCGGAAAGGGTCTTTTTCACCCAATTTCTCACATCACCATTTTCAATGTGTCCTCACTGTAGCAAAAGATGAAAAAGGAAGTTTCACATGGAAAACTTTTTTAACTGGGTGAGGCCTGGAAGTGGATATCATTTCCATCCATATCTTCTGTCCTGCCATTTTCCCATAATCCTACCTAGAAGCAAAAGGGTTAGACAGTACACTCTTACATGTGTTCAGGAAGAAAATTAAGTTGGTGCCATAGCAACCTACTTGCTGAGTACAGAACCTCTCATTTGCAGGTATTTGAACCTAAGAAGTTACAGTTTATCTTCCCATGAAATCTTTCTTTATCCCTCTGCAGCACAAAGATCTGATATCCCACCTCCTAATGATCCCAACTCTGCCTATATATATCCTGCTCTTGCATATACTTATTTTTTTCTGTTTCATTGAAGGAGAACTACAGTGCAGGAGTTAAACATTATGAGGCCGATGACTTTGAAATGGCAATCAAGTACTTTGAACAAGCTTTGAGAGAATATTTCAATGAAGATACGGAGTGCCGGACTCTATGTGAGGGTCCTCAGAGGTTTGAAGAGTATGAATACTTAGGTTATAACGCTGGTCTCTATGAAGCCATTGCAGGTAAAGCTTATTTTTTCTATTATCAAAAATAATACATGCATTTTGCAAAAACATTCCAACAATACAGAAATAAATATTATAAAAATTAAAAGACTTTCATATGTTTATCCCATCCTAGCTACAATTGGTAAGTTTTTTAGTTAAAATTTTCGTAATTGTCCTCCTCACATTTTTTCAATGCATTTGTAGATATTCAAGTACTTGTGTATCATTATTTAATTTTTATAAAATAGGGCAATACTATAAATACTGCTTCTCAACATAATTTCTTTTTACCTTATGCTTAACAATAAAATGTGGACTTCTCATGTAAGTACATGTAGATTCAATTTACTGGAGTTAATGGCATGATAATATTCCATTGTGAAATTGTTGCAGTTTTTCATGATTATAAACAAGAGAGTAGTGAACACTTTGCCATAGCCTTCTACAATTATGTAAAAGACTGGTTTATTAACTATAAGAATGACATTTAAAATAGTAGATAATGCATCTTACAGTAATTGCTGAGATTAGATAATTAATCATTTATGGGAGGAAGTGAGTTCTCCATGGTATGTAATATTCAAAAATAAATTCTATTTGTATTAATAATATTAGTATAAGGAGTAAAATTTTAAAGGAAAATATATACTGTTAGTAGAGGAAAAGAGGAAAAGCTCTTGTAAGCATAACAAAAGATGAGAAGAATGTAGAAAAAACTGCAAAAGACATATAAATATTGACTTACACAATAAATTGATTTACAAAAGACAAATTGAAAATATTGCAAAATATTTTCCAGAGTTAGCATCTGTCTTATATAAGGAGATATTATAAATTATATTTAGTAGTAATTTACTTACCGTTAGTAGTAATAATTACCAACACTTATGTAGCAATTATAACATACAAAGTATTTACATGTTTATATCTCTTTTAATTCTCTAAATAACTTTGTAGGTAGATACTATTGGCATTTAACCTTCTCTCCCTGCTTATTTTCTTTTTTATTACTGCTCCCATCAATGGAAGGGAAACTTTATTGAGTCCCCGTAGCCAACGGGCTAGGGCAGAAGATTGCTCCATGTGGGAAGAGCCCATGGAGGGGACTGAATTGACCTTCTTGGGGCAGAGGCTATTGGTGTGGCCATACTCTAGCAGTTTGCAGAATAGGGCTGCAGAGGAGCCTAACCCTTGCAGTAGATTATTTTATTGCAGTTGTGCTTCCGGGTGAGCAGGCACAGGGATGGCTTAATGATGCCACCTCACAGATGAAGCAGCAGGTACAGGACAGACTCTTTCTAAATGCTGTAGTCTGAGAGAATTTGGCCATCTCCCACCTCTTTGCAGGCAAATATCAGATGATGCTGGTCAAGTGGAATGCCCTCGTTGTCTTGGAGTTCAGTTTTGACATTTGTGATGGTGTCACAAGGCTCCACCTCAAAAGTAATGACATTGCCCATCATGGTTTTCACACAGTACTGCATCTCTCTGTCTACTGCTCAGACACCTCACTGAAGAGACTCTTCTCCCTTTTGAAAATGAGAAATTTTGCATCTCAAAAGGATTAAATAATGTGACTAAAGTGAAGCTAGGAATCAAACCTCTGCTGTTCTGAATCTAGAGCCCATACTTTTAAGATCTACATAATTGAAAAATGAGCAAAGAGCAGTTTATCAAATAACAAATATTTGCAGAGCACATAATGTGTTCTAACATGAACACATGAAAAAGTGTTCAACTGAATTACAAATTACTGAAGTTAATTTGCTCTCCTCAATATCCAACATTTTGTAGCCACTTACAAAGCACTTACCTAGTAGTTCAAATCAAATCTCAGAAGTTATCTTTCAATCCAGCATCTTCCTGAGTTCCTAATCCCTTATCTTTTGTTTACCAAACTTTGATAGATGCTACTCCTAATGCCACTTAAGACTTCCTGGTTCTCCCTCCATTTTTCTACCACCCTGGCTCAAACCACTGTGACTACCTCCTTGTAGTTCCTAGTGCATGCACAGTTAGTTTGGCTCTACACACAGACTGGGCCAAAATTCTGTACTCATAGACCTATTTAAACTCCCCACTCCATGGCTTATATTCTCCTTGTAATAAAACCCCAAAACTTTAATGACTTTCATGTGTATATTCTCATTCTCCTTCCCATACCCTCTCTTTCACTTTGGCTTCTACCTTCTGCCCTTCTTAATTCCTTGGATATGCCATCTTCATTTTCCCTTGCATACCTCAAAATGTTTTCTTACATCACTTGGCTATAGTCCTATCTCTTCAGTGCCTAAATACAGGGACAGGCAAATAGGGCCTAGAAAGTACTGGTCAAGTGAATGTGTTGATGAGTGAAAGCATAAAGGAGAGATGACATATATAACAATAATATTGCAGAGATTAAGTGGATTACCAGTACTCCATGTTTATGAGAATGTGGATTATAAATCATTATGTTGTTTAGAAAGACAATTAGAGAATAGCAATCAAAATATAAACTAGAATCAATATATCTTGTAGACTCAAAATCACTATGTCAAATCACCAAATTATGACATACCATATTACCCAAAATCAACTCAAGTCACCTAAAATCAATGTCATGTGAGTTACTTGGTCCCAAGTGCTCTTATTCCCTGGGTCTCTGCCAGATCCATTTGCCTATATTTTTGTGAGCATTGCTCATTTGAATGTCAATTGTATATGCATTTTAATTGATGTGTATGTCTCTACATTTAATACTTTACTATGTGTGGTTTTACAGGAATAGCTTGCCTCCAATTTGCCCTATCTCCAACCTCACATTTGCCCCTACACTTGCTTGGGTGAATGTCCATGGAACAGTTCTGGAAAATGCAATAAATTCAGTTTAGGAAACTGACTATAAGTTTTCCACAGGTTTAGCATTTATTGACGGTCAAGGGCACCATACTACATTGATTGCTGGAAATAATAGAGGTTTTCTAACTCAGGTCTTCCTTCCTTCCTTCCTTTTTTTTTTTTTTTAATTGGAGGTACTATGGCTTAACCTCAGGGCTTTGCATTTGCCAGGCAAGTGCCCTACCACTTGAGTCAGACCTCTGGCTCATGTTCTTTAATTCTTAACACAACTACCACCAATAACCTCAAAGCTTTCAATGAAAAAAGATGATTATAAAAAAGTCATGATCTCTCAAGTCCAAACCAAGTATTGTCAATTACAGAAGTATGGTAAGCCATCTTAGGAATCTGAAGCACATCCAATTTATTATGGGAAGGGAAATTTTAAAAGTATTCCCACCTAAGTGTCTTGGATCTCACTTATTAAATCATTTTAATTGCAGGATGACATTTGAGAAAAGCAGGCAAGGAATACAATTAATGAATAGTAATAAAACAGTTATCACTGTTTAAATTCTCACCTGGTTCAATGTGTCCTAAATTGGGAAAGAAACAGCATTTAAAATACAGACTGTATTAGGAAGTCTAATGTTTGAATTGTAGAGTTAGAAGAGACTTTGAAGAAAGACACAGATGTCTGCTGAATGTGGTTCATCAGTTGATGAAGCCCTGAAGGACATCATTTTCCCCCTTATTGTGCAGCAATTTTATCTTGCTTTGAGGAATATTTTCACTTAGATTTAGTTATTGGGGGATATGTTTTCCATCTTTTCCTTTCGCTTGTCATTTGGAATTAAATGAACTAGAAGGTAAAGAGAAATGTAAATACTTAAGTTGGAGAAAACAGTTAAGGCTGTTTGTTATTTCCTTTAAGAAACAAAGTGGCCAGAACTTTGTTTTTAAAATGCCAATCAAATTAATAGAACTCATTCTCCCCTTCACCCCCAACTGAGTTTAAAAGTGGTAGACTAGGGATTCCATTAGCCATGCTGTGTAGGATTGAGTTAGCTAGGTTATGTGAAACTGGCACATTTTCCCGACACAGAAAATGCACTTTTCCTTCCTGTTATGTCCTGAGGTCGCTCTGCACGGTCACCCAAATTAAAGCTGAACTCTGACTGAACAGAGAACCTCTCGAATGAAGGCAGTTGTGGTAAATTACATTGTGCAGCCATGAAGTCATATGATTTTATCACCCTCCTCAAGGGAACCTATTTGGCACAACCATGAATGAACTATTCTCTCCCTAGGAAAGGCTACCTCTATCTTTATTGTAAATATCAACATTGGACAAAAAGGAGGTGTTTTCATCTCTTGATATTAGCTACTTTTGTCTTTCAGCTCATGCTTTGATAAGATACAGCCTAAAGCCAAAGAGTATGAAAACCTTACAAGTAAGGGCTTGCAAGAGAGGAGAATGGGAATAAAAGAGAGAATAAGGAGAAAGAGGAAGCACTTACTCAAATTCTTTAGCTTTTATCCTTTCTCTACCTTATCAGTTTATGGTCAAGAATATACAGTGTTCCCCAGTATTAGAATATGCAGTGTTCGAGTGATGGACTGATTTGTAACTGGGTAGACTAGGATGTTAAGAAATAATACTTTTTATTTCCCCTTTAGGAAAATGTGCTTGATAATATTGACAATGAAAATGAGCATTTTTGGGTTTCACTTTTCTACCTGAGCACTCCATAGTTCCATTCTCTGAATGGTTCCTTAACATTGTGAGGAGTTGAACTTAGAATCCTGAATCCAGGGTGCTTCAAGCCCTCTAAAGTATCCAAAGACAAGCTAGAAGTTGTCAGATAAAAAAGTCCATGGTCAGCAGGTATGGGTGTGGAGAAATGTCAAGAAGGGTGAAAAAGCATGCAGAGAAGAAGAGTGCAGTGTAGAGAAAAGACCTCCAACTAGAGGGTGTTGGATCCAGTGACGTTCCAGTGATCACTGGCAAGGAGACCATGGAAGGTTTTAAGGTCAGGAAGTGATGATAATGAAGTCTCTTGGAGTGTGGTGTGGTGAGGAATGTTCAGTAGGACTGAGGCTCTGACTGAGATGTGGCTCTCAGCAGCCTGGAGGACACACCTGTCCCTTTTGTCTTCCAGATCACTACATGCAGGTGCTGGTTTGTCAGCACGAGTGTGTGAGGGAACTTGCCACCCGCCCCGGCCGCCTCTCACCAATAGAGAACTTTCTTCCTCTGCATTATGACTACCTACAGTTCGCCTACTACAGAGGTAAAGTGTGCATGATCCATGAAGAACTTTGGGGTTTTTTTCCCATTGCATATATCATGTGTTTGTGACTCAATTCATGAAAATTACCTGCAAATTATAATGGACACTGTATGATTTTTAAACTTACTTCTTAATTTTAATAGGAATAGATTAGCATGATTTAAAGGCCAAATATAAAAGCCTTCCTTTCTTCCTGTTTTCACAAACTAGCTTTGTGCCCTTCAACTAAAATTCTTATTTGTATATTTCTAAAACTTTATATATAAACAACAAATAGACCCTCACAGAAATTTATTGCTACTTATTTTACACAAAAACAACATATTGTTTACACTTTACATAGTTTCTTCACTTAATACATGCTTAACACATGACAGATCTTTTTAGTAGACTAGGCCTATGAAATTACCATTTTCTTAGGTCAAAATAGTTTTTGCAATTTTATATGGTTTAAATTAATTGCATCAGTACATACAGATCTTTCTCATATATTTTTCTTCACATCTGTATATTATTGTACTATAATTTTTTTATTGTCTTCTTGTGCTGTTGCAGGGAACTTTCAAGTGAATACCATTGTACATATGTCATTACACATCTGTACACACATATCTATAGGATAAATATCTGCAACTACAATTGCTGAGTCAAGTGATTTTCTAATTTATAGTTTTGAGAAATGTTGCCAAAATTTTGTCCACACGGATTACATTCTCCATTGCTCATCATCAGAATATTTTATCAATTTCTTAGATATTTCTCAATCCATTAGGTGGAAATTCATATCACAGTGTAGTTTTATCTTATTGAGACAGAGAAATTGAGCATCACTTCTTATCTTTGAAAGCCTTGAATAGAATCTAGATCGACGACATCTGCTTTAGAGGTCACATTGTCCTACATCCTCATCTTACTAAGAAGTAATTTGCTGAAAGTCACTTGGCATATCGACAGGTCATAATTCCTGGCTCATTGCTTCTCTCATTAGTTCTTACTACCTCCAGCCAGCATCCCTGCCTTGTAGGGAGGTCAATAGTAAGGAAACTATTTCCTTTTTAAAATAAAAATAAGAAAAAGTCTCAGGCCAACATTATAAGGCTACTTTGGCAAATCCTTTCCCTTTCCAAAAGCAAAACATTACTCATTGTCCTGGCGATGATGGCAGTAATAAATCATGTGTTTGTCATAAGCGGTGAATGCAAAGGAGCTGAGAGAGTTGCTTCTTGTCATTCTTATGGAAATTAAAGCCATCCCTGTGTGTATATAAACATACATCTGGGGGAATCTATTTCACAAAAAAAAATCCTATGTTGTGACCTATTTGAAAACATAATTCTGTTCATAACAGCCAAATATTCCTTTTGTAAATGGTAGTATTTAACGAAGAGATCATAGCTGAAACTTACTTGATTGTTCCTTTTAATGGTTGGCTACTATTAAGATTGCTGTAGCTGTATAGTGAGTGTTGGAAACATTTCTCCAGAGCATTAGAGGCTCTATTAAGGACTTTCTATAAAAGTAACAGTTTGCAATAATGAGAAATAGCATTTTAAAATCACGAGGCCAGGTACAGTGTCTCACAGCTGTAATCCCTACTACTCTTGGGATGCAGATATCAAGAGGATCTTGGTTTGAAAAAGTTAGTAAGACTCCATCTCAACCAATAGCTGGGCACAGTGATGTATGCCTGTTGAACCAGCTATGTGGGGAATATAAATAGAATGATTGTGATCCAGGCCAGCCCCACACAACACAAGACCCTATCTGAAAAATGACTAACACAAAAAAGCTGGAGGTACGGTTCAAGTGGTAGAGTCCTTGACTAGAAAATGCATTACTCTGAGTTCAAATTCGAGTACAACCAAAGATAATTTATATTACTCACACATTGGGTGTAAAATTGTGCATCGTGGTTTACAAAGTCATGCTCAGGATGTCGGCTTAACCCATACTCACTAAAAAAAAAATCAGAATTAATTCAGACAGCTTCTCTGTTTCTTTGTATTAAGTTGCCAACAAAAATCTTCAGGTAGAGACTATTGATAATATTTGCAAAACATCCAGCACTGAAGCAGACAAAAGGTAATTCCTTCTGAATGCCAGAAATCATGTCCTTCCTTCACCTGCAAACACTTCTGCTTACACTGCTCAACCTCAGTGTATCTTCCCTTTTCTTGATGATTAATGCTGACATCTCAGGTACATTGAAGTCTCTTTAAAATCCTCTGGGCAGACCTAGGCTGACTCTAATGCTACAAATCCTTGGCCTTTCAGTTGGTGAATATGTGAAAGCCTTGGAGTGTGCCAAAGCCTACCTTCTGTTCCATCCAGATGATGAGGACGTCCTGGACAATGTGGATTACTATGAGAGTCTGTTGGATGACAGCATGGACCCAGTGTTCATTGAAGCCAGAGAGGTAAGAGGAAGCTCTCTGCTTCTCTGTGCTCCAGGGAGAATTGATAAAAATATAACACTGCTCTTAAAAATACCTAGCAATTTAGTAAAGGCTCTAGAACTTAATTGTTTCAAACTTCATTCATGCCAGGAATGTATTTTCCTCATACATGCTAGCTTTTGGAAATTTGTTAACATGGAAACATTGCTTTGCAAATGTGGGTATTTATGTTAGATCACTTGTCATTATCTAATGGAAACTATTTCCACTTGAACATTTATCATATCTCTTAGCTGCTACTTAAATATAAATGTTCTTTCTTTTTCTCCTAGGATTTGGCAATGTTTGTGAAACGTCATAAACTTGAATCTGAATTGATAAAGTCAGCTGCAGAGGGTCTTGGATTTTCATACATTGAACCAGTAAGGGCAAAGTGGAAAAAGGAAATGTTTATTAAAAGAACTTCTCAGGGGAATTCTTGTTTATGTTTCTATTCTTCATCTTCATTTTTTGAATATTCTAATATCCTCCTTGAGTTAACAATATGATTGGGAGGGTCTTTGCTCAATACAAGTAATGAATTTAAAAAAACTTTGGTAGACTTCCAAGCCACTAAGGTCCAAAGTCAAAAGCAAATAAATTTGGTAGAAGTCTTTGTACATAATTACTTTTGCTTAGAATTGTCTTATTTCCCCAAATTTAGTGTGCAGCATTTAACATTTTGCTTTAATGCACATAATTTTTGCTCTTTAAACAACATGGTTTCGATAAGAACAACATAAACCACAATTCATCATGCTGCCACTACCTATTTCCTATGTTGTCTCCTAATCACCATTCATATGAAGACATACCATTTGCAGAAATAGTGCTAATGTATAAATCATTTGTGCTCTGAATTTTATTTAAGAAGATATCATAAGTAGTACCTATATTTATACATGTCCTTAAATTATTTTTGGCTATGTATATAAAATTCAGGCACAAAATTAACTTTTCTTCTGCTGCTAGAAGTTTGAATGATTTCTGATTTTTTTCACCAGAGGTAATATATTAAGCATTCTTCTCACAAGTGAACTATAACCTCAAAATAAATTCCCGGGAGTAGGATTATTACTCTGCCATAGAACAATAGGATGTTTTAAAGTTCTTAAAACTAAATTGCTTTTCTAAGAATTTTTTTCTTACCTTCACTGCTCCTAGTAATCAATAAAAGTATCAGTTTACCACAATTTTTCAGCAGCAAGAAATAACATTATAAAAATCTCTTATGTTACTCATATATTATGTACAAAATGATGCATCATTATTGTTTTAACTTGTACTCCTTTAAAGATCAGCAAGAATTATCCTTTTCACGTAAGAATATTTTTCTTCTAAATTACCTGGGCACAGACTTTGTTCATTTATCTCTTGGTTACTAAATATATTCTTTATATAATATTCATATTACTATGTTTGTGACATCATTTTTGGTAGTATATTCTATTTACAACGTGTTTTCATTTGTTCTTTGTCATGGCATGTTTACATTGGCACATTTTAAAAATTAGTTTACTTTCAGGTAATATTTCTAATCTAACACATCTAATGTATTTATCTCTATTTATTTTTTAAAGTGTTGTTACCCCATAAGACCTCAAAACATGTCATTTCCTTCATGATCTTATACAGATAATTAATCAAACAAGACTTCTTTTATTTATTTATTTATTTTAATTTTTATTCATAAACCATAAAACAGTTGAATTGAACTGAATGATCTTTGAAGTTTCTTTCTGCTACCAAATTTCAAGTTGCTTTCTGGAGCAAAAGAAGAGATGCCCAAGATGATTGCATATTATTTTTAATTATGCCTTTGCCAAAATTGCATCAACCAAAGCCTTCCTTTTTATTTTTTAAGTAAAAAGGTATTATATTTTTTACATAAGATGCACATTTTTATTTTAGATCTTCTAAGTATAGTAAGTATAGTTTTAATTTCATTTCTGTAAATGATATTTTAGTGACAAGCATAATTTTTTTCTTAACTTAAAACAGAATTACTGGATCAGATATGGAGGACGACAGGATGAGAATCGGTGAGTCCTCCAAAGCACAAGTGGTTAACTTTTTAATGAAGTTCTTAGAGTCAGAATGTGGTACAAGGAACTTAGCTTTTTGAAATTGGGAAAAAGATGTAATTAAGAGTTTTAAGCTGCAAATTAAGGGTTTTGTATCCTGGTTCCTGTTCTTCCAATCACGTTTTATGACTTAATTATTTTTCTCCCTGGGCCACATGGACAGGCATTATTTGAATGCTAACATTTTGTGACTCCAAATCAGAGAAAGTTGGATGCTGTTTTTATCAATAGGAAAAAAAAATCTGTAAAATTTTCCGTTTGATGGTGAATTTTCTTGCTATATTTGTTGGCAAGCTAAAATGTTAATTGTCACTAATTCAATCAAAAATGAAGAAAACTCATTTTTTAATGTAATCAAAGTCAATTTGAGTGTTTTGAATAACTCATATTCATTGCATGTTATGAGATCTCATAAACCATTCTATTCATTCTGAAATTGGGAAACAAGCTTGAATAGGGAAGAGACTTGTTAGTCATTCACCACAAGGGTCTGGAAGATCTGGGTCTTACTCAGAATCTTGAGGACTTTCACTAGGTTTCAAGGACTTGACCCTTGGCTAGTGTGAGATAATTGCAAGATCTATGAAAGTATATGCACAGTTGGATGTGTCCTGTCTGTGTATATTGAAATAATATCCTACTCTCATTTGTGTGTGTGTGTATGTGCAAGTATTATACAAATACTCAAGAACGAGCTGCTTCATTAGGACATAACTTATTTCAATTCACCATTATTCAGTGAAGTAGTCCATGTTCAAGGCACAATAAAACACAGAACATTATGAAGATACAGATATAATTTTGTTTATCCTCATTAAGAAGTCAGTCTAAGCCAGGGAATAGTGGCTTATGCCTGTAATCCTAGTTTACATCCTAATCTGATCCTATCCTAGATCAGGAGGCAGAGATCAGGAGGATTGCAGTCCAAAGCAAGCCCAGGCAAAAAGTTTGTGAAACCCTATCTCAAAAAAACCTTTCACAAAAATAGGGTTGGTGGAATGGCTCAAGGTGAAGGCCCTAAGTTCAGGCCCCAGTGCCAAAAAAAAAAAAAAAAAGAAATCAGTCTAATATGAAGAGGGTTAAGTTACGAATGTAACGAATCGCAATAAAGGTTTTAAAGCAAATTTAGAGGAGTGAAAGGAAGCATAGCCCTTGAGGAAACAGAGAATGGCCTGGAGACAGGGACATTCAGTGTAGAACACAACCTTAGACTGAATGGGTGCAGTGTTCATTGCCTTTGAACATCTTTATTCAATGGGAAATTGCCATTTCAACCTTTTTGAATGCGCAGAGTCCCTTCAGGAGTTAACATGGAGGGGGCAGAAGTTCATGGATTGTCAATGGGGAAAAAGTCATCACCCAAGAGAGGCGGAGACCTAAGAGAGGGTAAGTAACTGGAAACATTTACTCTTATGAAGTTTGAAAGAAGAGGGAATGGTGTGGGTTCACTTCTTCTCTACATCAAGGCAGAGCCTACTTTCTCTGGAAAGTTAAGAGTTAAGCCTAAACTACTACAATTGTTCATAAAAGTCTGAAAGCAAGGCTTAAAAACAAGAATATTACAGATTTGTACGCCTTTCTAAAAGTGTTTCCAAATTCACTCTTTCATCTGTTTATCATAAGAATTCTGTAAGTTAGGCAGGTACTATGTGGTCATCTTCATCCAAAGGTGAATATTAGAGGCCTGGAGAGCTCACAGTACTAACTTCTGTCACATGGTTATAGTCTTAATTAATGTGGAATGGACTGCATATCTAAGAACCTTGAGAAGAAGATAGATCATATTATTCAGCTCATCTAAGATACAAGAAGAATGTAGATCTGAGAGGTGCTTTGAGAGGAAGTAGACTTTATTTTTGTTTTCAGTACGATCACCATGATGGAGTTTGAACTCAGACCCTTGTGTGTGGTAGGCAAATGCTCAATTACTGAGCTACATTACCAGTCCCAAAGTGAGTTTAGATTGAATTGAGAGGGTATGAGAGAGCCGTTCAAATGTATAAAACAAATGGAGGAAAAGCACAGAGATGGGGAGAACAGAACCTTATATGCCTCCTCATGTAAGATCCAAGTCAGTGGAATTATTGGTGAAGTGCTGATAAAAAGTAGTTTTTAAATGGAGCCGAACATTATTGTCATAATAAACTATTATCAAGAGTCATCCTAACAGTAGTAATAATTCAAAACAATTATTACTGTTTTTATATGTTTTATAATTTTTCAAGCAGATTTACACACAATTCACTTTAATATTGACAGCTCTCTCATGAGGGGAATTTAGTGATTTCTACAAAGTCTCACAACTTATACTGGGCAGTTAGTTTGAACCACGCTTTGAATCTAACTCTCATGCTTTCTTCTGTAGCTGCTGTATTGAACATAGAAATATCTGTACCCAAAGTATAACCCCTATTAATTAAATGCAGTCACACCTGGGTTACTATGGTTGGTTCCAGGACACCCTCTTCTCCCAAGGATACAGAAATCTCAGAGGATGCTCCAGTTCCTACATGAATATACATATAACCTATACGCAGCCTCCTGTATACCTTAAATCATCTGTAGATTACTTAATTTTTGTAAATTACTTATAATACTTAAGACAATGCAAATGTTATTATATAGTTGTAATATTATATTGTTTAGGGAATAATGACAAAAAGGGGCTGTATGTATTCAATACAGAAACACTTTTTTTTCAACTGTTTTTCAGTACAAGCTTGATCAAATGCATAGATGTAGAATCATAGATACAGAGGCCCAACTGTAATTGTAAGATAAGAAGAGACTTTCAAAAACCTACATGGAGAAGTATAGTACTTCTTTTCCCAGGAGAGCTTGTCAGCACATTCCTCTAGATTTGAAAACTTCTGGCTCTCTACAGCTCTAACAGTTCCCAGCCCTTTCCTTCCTTCACTTCCAAATCAGTTTGAAGCAGTAAACAGGATAATAAGCTCATCGAATCTGACCTAAACCTCAGTGTTAACCACAGAGCCCAAGCTGTTGTATAACTGCCAGAATGGTTCATGGTTAGTCAGAGTTTTTTTTTGGCTAAGAAATCACCCAGGAAGTACATGCCTACAGGCCAACACTATGCTGTAATTGTTTGGGAAACTCCAGAGCAGTTGCCAAATTTCAAAGGTTTTTTTTTTGTCCCTTTTGGCTATCAGGGAATATGATGTGCAATAACTATGAAGGCTAACAAAAAGTATAGAACAGGGCACCATATATAAATATTGATTTGATGCTGCAGTCTACCATTTCTCCAGTTTTCTTGGTTGAATTGGTGAGTGGATATCAGGATGTTTCCTGGGGACCCAGTGGTCTGAAGGAAAAACGCACCCGTTTTTCCAATTCTTCTTACACTCAATGCAGATCACTTCTGGGACCAAATGTGTGTGTGTGTGTGTGTGTGTGTTTCCCTTAACACATCAAACAGTTCCCAGGGATTTCCAGTCTTTCCACTCTTCTTCCAGAGGTCCACGGTGAGGCTGTGGGTTTCAACCCTCTACTCACTTGGTATTTCTGGTGACTATTCCTAACCTGAGTCCATCCAGGGGCTGCAGATTAAGTCACTTTATTAGTGTAACTCAGATGTTATTTTAAAAAGTTGTATCATGAATAACAAGATACTTCTATCATTCAGAAAATTGCAAGGGTTTTAGAAGCTTTGAGCTAATAACTGGGGATAAAGACCAAACATAATTCTTGTTATACCACAGCTGGAAAGCCTTGTATCCAATCATCACACACCTAGTCAATAAGATCTCAATTAAGAACAGCAGTAGATAGAAGCAAAGTTCCAAACCAGAAAATACACTCTCATCTTTGTCTGGCTGAAAGCAGATGGCAAGGCGGCAAGGAATAAACTAAACTTGAACAAACAGCATCATCTCCTCAGGTTACCTAATAGCATCTAGTATGATAACCCCACCTTAACCACAGATTTATTACATGCAGCTTTGAACAAGTGTGGTAATAAATATAAGAATCAAAAGAAATTTCAAAAACAAAAATTTTAAATTCTCATACATATTACACAGCTCAGTTGACAAGAAACTCTCAGTCGGTGCTGCGTTATCATCAGTTGTGCTTAAGTGGGTGTGTGATCTCTTGTTTCCCTGCCCTTAATTTTGGAAAGATATGCCTCCAAAATAAGCAAGGTAAAATAAATGTGTTTAATTTATGCAATAAAGTGAAAACATGCTGTCTTGTTGAAAGGCAGCATGTTTTTAGTGGAAGGTGAGTGGCACTATGGGAAAAATGAATGAAGCATCCACAGGACACGAACTCCATGCTTCCTGAGCATGCAGTCTCCTTGCAACGACATACCCATGGAGACTAGGGTTTACTGTAGTCATACTGATGGCTCCTAAGAATTGAGATCAGAGTCACTTACGGCTACATACCAGAGTGACTCCAGTCCAAGGAACATACAGAGTAACTTACTAATATCAAGACACGTCTGTCATTTGTTCATTCTCTTTGTAACCACCAATTTCCAAAGGTCATGCTTGATAATGACTCCAGTGTCATTGGGTGAGATAGAAACAATGTTGAACTTGGTACCTGGAGACTTTATTTCTGAGATTGCCTTATTCTGATGCTCTGCACACTGATGGAAACCTAGAGTTTCAATGATGCAGGATCCTGTGGTCCTTATCTGTAGGACACAGGATGGTAACTTTATTGAGACAATAAATGTGAAAGTCTTTTGTAAACTGCAAAAGGCTGTACTTACATAAGGGCTTGTTAGTTGCTGCATACTCTTACCATGCCTGGTATAATATTGTATTTATGGAAAATGATTCTTCTTTCCATGAGCCACAGGCAGTGAGCATGAAAGAGTACTTTCCTGGATGATCTCTCTTTGTTACAACCGGGAGTCAGAGCCAGGCACATACTTTATGAATGAGAGAAGAATTAAAGTTGTTTAACTAAATTCCTAGCGTTGTGGTTAAGAATTGGCCAAAACCATCAAATTAGGCCACAGGAACTGCAACCTATTGGATTACAATTTCATTTTAATGTCAATGTTTTCCTCTGTCTGGTGTGCTATCAGTCATCTGCAGGCTGGTTACCTTGCCTTATGACTGGCAAGGTTATTATTTATTTATTTATTTTTGGCTAATGGTTGAGTAATCGGTTGGTTTTCTTTTTGTGTTAATTACGTGTGATAAATTTCTATATAAAATTCTATAGTGATAATTATATTAGCAACATGAGAGTCATATTTGTAATACAGATTCTCCTTGATCCTGTTACAATTTAGATACTTAATACTCCATGAGGCACCAGGTTTCCCCTGATCTTTGTGTGTGTTATTTATGGAATGGTTAGGGGAACTGTCCATATCCCATAGCCCCATTTTAAATACCCTCCATTATTTCACAATGACTCAGTCAAAACTTAACACAATATTTATTCCAAGCATAGTTAACTAATTTAATTATATTAACACCAAATACTTATACAGAGCTTGGGTGATATACATTTTTCTGAATTTTTCAGCTCAGTAACTAAAATCATATTTTGAGAAGAAGCTAGTAATATTCAGAGTAATATACCCTCAAATTGAAAAACTTGGCAAAGTACAAACCAAGCAAGTTTACTAAATGCATGTCTACTTTGTGTCTTCTATGTCTATTTGAATTTTATATTAGCAAATAATTTTCAATGAAGCTAGAGAAATCTTGTCTTTCTTCTTTTTTTGAGAATTTTTCTTTATGAATAGAAAAGAGAGAAAAGCTGTATCAATTTCCACATGATCATGCTGTCACTATTCACACTTACATCTTGTTTCTCAAAGCTTTTATCTACATCTCTAATCCCCTGACACTTCTAACCATAGACAGTTATGCTTCTGAATAAGGCAGAATATTCATAAAATTAATGTTCAACTTGATTTAGGCATGAAATTCTAATACCTTCCAGAGAGGGCTCATGCTGCTTCAAAATAATTTTTTTGTGAAATTCTACAAATAAAGAAGCCATTTATATCAATAAAATACTTGTTTTCTGTATATTACATAAAATCAATTTATATTCATATATTTGGCTACTGTCAAATCAGAGTCTTTTGGAGAGCTTAGAAACAAAAATACCACAGAGATTAGCTGTGAAATGTTTTGCTCTATGAAGAACAATGAAACACAAATTAGAATATTAACAAAATGGCAAAGCTATGCTGACAAGTTCACTCAGTAGCTGTGGGTCACTTCAGAATTAGTAATTTTCTACCACTCTTGAAATCGATGGATTTTCCATCCTGGTCCTGATTTACTTATTCATTAACTAAAGGGATTAGCAAAATTAATCAGAATGAAAGTTGATATAAGTATTAAAACACCAAAGATAAGGAGCTGAGAGTATCAATTTGCTTTTCT